TGTGCCCTCAACATGAGAGTTTGTTATAATGGAATCCTTCTCTTATGCCTCAAATGTTGTCCTTGCCTAGTGAATGGTGTGGTTCACAATTATTGGATTTAAGGCCGGAAGTTGTTTCCATGTGGAATGCAAAAATTTGTTCAGAAATTATTAGCCCTTTGTAAGAGGTATAAACTAAATGGTGTTGGCAGTGTAATCAAGCTGGGTTTTTTTTTTTTTTTTTGTATAATGGGAGACAATCATCTTTTTTTTTTTATTGAGTTATTTATATCGTTGGTATTGAGTCAGTTATTTCCGAGTCATTTTGTGAGAAACTTCCAAAACTAAACATGGCTTGAAAGATTTCATCGAGGGGGGTACAATTTGATGGATGTGGAGAAGACCCATTGCACATTAATTACTATAGATTCGGGGAAATATTTCGGAGTCTCCTCATGCACTTATTTATAAGAAGTTAACCAACCCTGTCTAATATAGGTGCCATAGGTCAGTCGGTTATAGAGCGTCGGTCTTATGAGCCGAAGGTCGCGGGTTCGAGCCCCTCCGGGACCATTTTTTATGATACAATGTAGCCGGTTCTTCGTAAGTTAGATTAATATATGAACCGCTAAAAACAATAAAAATACTAAGATCGCGTCTTAGCTCCAAAAAAAAAAAAAAAAATTACCCATTTTAACAAAGGACAAATTTCTTATTTTTTGCATTAGCCTGACCTGCGAACAAAAATTCCCTATTCTTCAATTATTTATTTATTTATTTTGTATGTAAAAACTACAAAATTAACTTAATTTATGATTAAAAATAATTCTATTATCAAATCACTTGACTTATTGTTAAAGAAAATATTTTCCTGTTCTTTTTCAATTTCAAATGTATCTACTAAAATAAGCTCATAAATTGTAACCACAAATAGTCATTTATCAAACAGCAGACATCGTTCTGGCTCAAACTCAATATAGATGGATCTGTTACCAGTAATCCCAACAATGCTGGCTGTGGAGGCCTCTTCAGGGACAATCAAGGGCATTGGATTATGGGGTTCATACGCAATATTGGCCATACTACAGCTCTCGCTGCGGAATT